CACAGTAACCTGAATGTGAATGAACTACCGATCCCTTTTTCGTGCGCCCTGAATACCATGAATTAAACTTACACAGTGACTTGTTATAAGACCAAATTACACCTTTCGCAAGATATCAAGCATCACACGCGACCATTCATCCTGTGAAATCCTGCTTGAAAATGCCACTCGCTGTCATATGCGTAGTAGTGCCTGACCGACCTAGTTGCATCACTCGGAGAATAATGCGGTAACTGTGACCAAGCTATCTGAACATAACCACTAGATAGACCTTGTTCATGGGCGACTCAACGTGTCTGATCCATGCGTGCGTGCAGCATACAGCAAATTGAGTATTATTCATTTGCGAAATTATCATGTTGTCCGCTGTGTCCATATGACTCTCCAGTCGAGTTTCTCGCTCTATTTGCAAGATCATTCTACCGGTAAAGAGTCTACTCAGTCGTCCTTATTTAGGCTTGGGCTGTCTGACAGCATAGGAAGGTTTCTATTTTACTTCATTTTTCTGAAACAACCTGTGCACAAATTACCTGGATGGTGACTGACAGCCAGTCTGAAGACGCCCAGATGAGATTCGAACCCGAGTTTTCGAAATGGTGATCCACGACTTTATGGTTTTTGTATCCCCGGAAGTCTTCTTCAAGAGAACCACCGCTTAACAATCTGTTTTTTTTACTTGGCCTTCTTAAAGTACCGCCTAACTCGTCATGAATTTCCGCTATACACTAGAATACGCAACGTTTCACCTGTTGTTGCGGAGCCGAGAAGTATGTATGTTGTCCTGCTCATATATCCAGCCACTGCATTGCTCACTTCGATCGTTACAGCGTTGGAAACTATCCAGCCATCCATGGATTCTGCCTTAATAAAACTTGGGGGTTCAGAAGTGGGAAGAAAGCAAAGTGTCTATCACATGTTATTCTAAAGCAACGAACTTGTAACCCATGATTCTACCCAACAGGGACCAACCATAGAACCTGGCCAACGTGGTCCATTCTGTTAAAATGGTCTCCATTTGATGGAATGCCCAAATCCCTAGCTTTACGTGATGGCCGAATGACTTTTAGGTCAAATATTGAGTTATTTAGAAAGTCCTTTGGGTTTGGTTTACTATCTTCCCTCATTTTAAATAACTATGCTATGCCGCAGCTTCTGCATAATCTCGGTAATTGACTCATCCAGCTTTTTTGGGATCAGTCCGCTACCACTCATCCGGTGTTCCATCTTTTTTAGCTGCTTACTTGTTCTTCAGCAGCACGAGAAGAGCATTACCATAAAATGAGCCTTAATTCTCTAATAAATCAAGGTTGCCAAATTAGTCATTTGTCATACCCTTGGTCGAATGTTGCCCAATGATAGAAGCGATGGGCCTCCCCCTCACACTCATGTGTGTCGATGAAACGCACTATCTGGATTCCAAATTAGATGAAACTAATCGGAATCGTCTATGCTTTGACAATTTTCTCCAGCCAACTGACCTTGTATTCCATGCTTTATCTCACACGAGCATTAGGACCACTCTTCTTTACGGAAAGCTCGGTTCTCAAGCTGATTGGACAGTATCCCGAATGAGCAACGAATGTAACTAATCGAGCTGAAGTGGACTTTGGAACATTGTTCGCATTTTCTGATTTCTTGAGATACGATCTTCGTTGGGGACTAGTGAAATCGAAGGTTTTAAAATCCGGCGCTCTTTCTTTGGGTTTAGTATTTTGGTAGAATTCGTGCGACCGCGACAGAGTTTTGTCTCTTTAGGGATGGGTTTCTCCATTGCAGAATTGGTGGACAAATCGTATGGATTATTGTATTGTCACACGCTTGACTTTTTCCCACAACACATTTTCGTCGTAAGCAAAGCCAAAGCGTTACTTTGTCAACACTTTAAAGTTTACTTCGGGGGAACTTCAATTGTCTAAGGTCTATCTCCTGTGTTGTCGATCAGTTCGTTTTCAGGTGACAATGTTTAGACAGAACCTAACTGGCCATTTCAAACAGCAGGTAAACATCAATCGTATGTGTAGTCGTCAACATTCATGACGTGAAACGATAGAAAAGTAAGGGTCAGCCACATACATCGATGACTATAAAAATTTACACCACAGTTTTGACCCACCCATACCTCTAAATGCGTAACCCATGACAACCGGACGACAGTTTTGTGTACAGGTAATCGTCCTACGATCCCTCAACGTGCAAAGTACTGTTACATTGGTGCTTGAAGTTCGGTGTACTCAGGACCACTGGTTTGTGAATATATCCATTTTAGGAATAGTCATATGGTGTGCCAAGTCCTTTGTCCTCAAGGTTTCTAGTTGAGCTACCTGATTCGCTCAAATCGGTTAGACAGATTGTATCAAGAGTAGTAACTGTCCAACTCATCCAATGAAAACCTGCCAGATAGTCGGACAAATTAGATACCTTATATAGATGGCTTGTGCAAAATTGACGAGATGGGAAAGCTCCGAAATTCCTGAAGAGGATGTAGTAACGTTCCTTCACCTTAGTCAAGGGGCGAGAAAGGCCCAGTGCTTAGACCGCAAACTTACTGACCTGAAGGTCCATGGTTCAACCCCAATCACAGTATGTCGACTTCTCCTGTCTAGACTTCGGCAAGCTGACAGTATCCCAGCTCTTGTGGTTCCTTTGGATGGCATGGTAGGCAGGCAGCTGAGCCGTTACTTCATTACTAGTCAAAGTAGAGAAATATCACTTTAGGAGTTTTCTTCTGAAGCACGTTCACTATCAGTGAGAATTTCCTTACCACACGAAGCTGAGTAGTTGAACGTTGTATGGAAAATACAGTTTAGCTGACTTCTAGTGAAATACCGTCATCTACTGAGGTTCATTAATCGAGATTTGATTGATACGCTTACCTTCAACAGACCGGTTCCGGTCGGTGCGAACTCGTTAAATATGAATTACCAGGGATTTCAGAAATTCCCGTCAAAATCGCTTTAGTTTTTTCAAACGGTATGTGACTTTCTTCTAGAGCATGCAGAGTAGTGGCTAGTGGTGATGCTCGTTTAGAGGCGAGAAGCGAGGATAAGAGCGTCGGGTTCGTGCAAAACACCAACAATGGGATCGATCCTGCATTTCTTGAGAACGTCTGCCCACACACTTCGGCGCACGAATTTTAGCTAAGAGCTCCAACTAAAGAGTTTTTAAGAACCTCTAGGGTTCCGTACCGAGGCAAGGGAAATTATGTTGGCTCGAGACAGGAGCAAGTGAATATCTAACGGCGTTCAAGCACTTTTATACTGCCACATCCTGGCTTATTTCCTGTGAATTTTTTGCAAAGGGTTTGGAGCGGGAAACTACAGCTTTCTTAGCTACCATGCCGGGTCCTATCTGGTACATATTTCAATCACAATCGAGCGGTGTTTATCAATTGATGTAGTGATCTCGGCTCATCACTCGTGGATCACTTCATTGTGAGTTTGCGTACTGCAACCACTCACTGGTACAAACGCATGTTCCAATTGTTTCTGCAATAATGTGCAAGTCGGGTGCCAAAAAAGCAAGCACCAAGAAGGAACTGNTAGTGTAGGGAAGACTTGAATTCAGATGAGTGAAGCAATTCAGAAATCAACGAAATTTACATCGACTGCGCTTTACGTTGATGCTATCAAAAACAGCATCGAAATAATTCGGACCTTGTTTTCACTCTCCACCTATGAGGTCAGTCCTACCCTCTTTTGATAACTTTTCACCTTCAGCAAATGTGAAATGGACGGGTGGTGAACACCACTCACTTACACGATACCAAATTTTCAAGGCAAACTAAGCTCAGCGTTCATCCAGGATACTCCTGATGACCATAACTCCAGCGAAGCCCATGAAGGACTCGACAAATGCAGTCCTCTGTTAGCCCCTTAGAGACCTACGCCGGTTCCTTCCATAATAAGCTTGACGGCACGGGACCCGCTGTGTTGTGCAGGTTCCGCATATTCCTATTTCACCGTCGTACAGTCGTAACCACTCGCTTGTATGCGCGTCATCCACCTATAACCAAGAAACAGCTAGTAAACAAAACACAAACTGGATTGCAAACGCTTCATTACCACCCGAGGTGACATCGTGAGTGCGGGGTTGACTAACTGACAAGTGAGCACCGAAGATGTTACCTCGATTGGTGATGAAACGTTTGCAATCCAACTGCCAAGCTCGGCGAACAGACCAACAGTCAATGAGAGCGCCTAAGCTAACTATATTCCACCACACTGCCAAAACCGAAACGGCTATCAATGCACTACTAGTATTTGAGACAGTCCTTGTGGTCGAAATCAAACCATTTGGACGTCACCCTTTGGCAAAACCAGACTTAGCTTCGCAAACGAAGCAGTGCGTTGACTTCCGTAAGGTCGCCCTAGATTCAGTCTGTGGGAAATGAACAGCGCCACTCGGTGCAGCCGCCAACCGCCCGCATAGCCCTCAATCTGCAGCTCGTGGCTTGCGTGTCAGCCAACAGACGTTGCGCCGCCTCGCGAACAGCCAATCCGGTTTCTCCTACGTGCATCGCCTATCGCGTTGCTGCGCCGAACGATCGATAAGCCTCGCTTAAACATACGCAGCCTTGGTGTGTCTGTCTTGCGCTTCGTTGTCTGCTGCTGGCTGGTTTCGCTAGCCGTGCCACCAATGACCTTGGTGCGCTTAGCTAACCTTGAGCTTTTGTGATGATGACCAATCGCACCGCTGTATCGATTGCCTAGCCCTATGGGCTGCTTTTGTCCGCTCCTGACCTACTCGCAGCTCTTTCCAAGCTAATTTGGCCGTTTGCCGTTGCCTTGCGCTCAATCTAAGAATAAACTACGGATCTATGCCACTAAAAACTTAGCATGAAGGCGTTTTTCATGCATGCCCCATCCACAACATGAAGAAGACCAGATTTCTGAGAATTCGTGATCTTCCGGCCAAATGTCGCGAGAATGAGCTACGTGATGTTTTTCAACGGTTCGTCCCAATTTTTTTATTAATTCGCTCACCTGCTTATTCTCCATAGGTATGGCTCCATCCAAACTGCTCGAGTCTACAAAGACGGACTTTCACGGCATGCTCTACTGGCGTTTGTGGACGTCAAATCAGCCGTCCGAGCAGCAAATGCTGACCACAGATTCAACGGTGCACCTTTAAACGTGGAATACTGTGACACATTTGACACTAGTGGAATTACTCTCAAATTACCAGACGTTTCTGTTGCTTCAGCGCACCTTGATCGTTCTTGGTGAGTGAATCGACTACGACTGATTCATTATGATGATCGCATTAAGTATTTTAAGCTTGATTATTGCTTCCCCTTCACTTTTCTGGTGTGCATTTCTTCGATGCATCGTGCAATGTCATCTTCAATGGCTAGCTAAATTTATTAGCTAATTCCTTTGCGGTCGCAGCTGAGTTTCACTCTTCGTGCGTATGTAAAATTGCTAAAAATTTGGTTCAACTAACATCTCAGACAATTTGGTAAGCTCATGAGTGGCCTGTGTAATCCACTCATCTCAGACTCATCAGAATATCCCACCGACTTGTTGGAGGACCTTGCTCATTTATTGTGACCGTCATATCCAGACTCCTTGTTACCAGGCTGGCTTTGACAACTCACATCAACTTCAACTTCCCATGGCTTTTCATCTGTCGGTTTCCCGTCGACGGGTGGGTATATAACTTGCATCGCGGGTATTTGAGTTCATTCAGTCCAATCGCTGGCTGTGACGATTTCAGTTCCTGCAGATCACTTCACACGATCAACCGAGGTTACCCCTATTGTTTTTTGCAGTTCGGGTGTTTAAAAGGGAAACCTCAATCTTTCCGCCTCGCACACTTTCTATACACATCACTCTGATTGCCTAGCTAATTTGGGCTCGCGTTTTAGATAATTTTAGACTAAATCTTTGGCTCGGGAATCTCTGTTCAGCTGCCTTCTTTAGAAGCGTTTCCCCAAGTGCCTTGGGTTAATTAATGAATCAACACTGCGCTCCTGCTTTTTTATATGACGGATTTTGTTTCTAAAATTCCGAGTCTGCAACGTGAACTACTATGTTTGTTTCCGTTTGTTCGTAATCAAAGTTTGTTTACCTGACCATCCTCCAGGTATATCCAGTCTTTCCCTAACGATGCGGTGGCTAAACGTCGATGGCGTTCGCTAATGCATGTGTTTCATCACCTGGCACCTGAATACTAGAACGATGAATGCATTCACCTTTAATTCTGTAAAGCTGGGGATGGCTGCAGTCTACATGGATGGTTCTAACACGCATTATTAATGAGGTTGTCACTGTTTTTTATGCGCAAACGTTCTCGAGATGCTTATGCAAAATTACGGGAGCCCCGTTGCTTATAGTACGGGCAAATTACTAGTAATTGCTTTTGCTTGATGCACGTAGCCTTCTTTTGCCCTGCCGACTGGTGTAATAGCTGAATTTTTCTTAACTCGGATTGTGCAGACGTACATGAAGTTAATGAGAGTGCAACAAAATATGCCCTCATCTACCTTCATATGCTTATTCATGCCCGCTGTCGCCGTCTACACTTGTTTGCCGTTTTTCGCACATTAGGCGTCGGATTTCACACGTAATCTTGTGCAGAACTGACAAGGTGTTTTTGACAACATTCACGTCAAACGTGGCTAAAGTTTGCTGAATTCGTGCATTTTTGTGACTAAACCCCCTTCGCTGATCGTGTCTACCGGCAAATTCGATTGGTAGATAGGTGCTGAATTACACCAACGTAGCCTTCGCCTGAAGCTACAGTATCGTTCCATGAGTGTCGATTTCATTTAATGTTTGGTTCGCTCTCCTGGTCACCTCCATCTGCTGGTAATTTGTGTAACTCTTCCGTCTTCGGGCCATATTTAGCCATTGCTTAGATAGCAGAAAAGCTCTTCTCAATTTTCTGCTATTTGTTTCGAAGTCGTGCTAAGTTTTTTGTTGATGGAAACAGTTTAGCTATAGCTAAACTGTATGAAGGCAGTTTTCAGCTGTTGTTTTTTGACAGAAAGTGTAACTAATTTTATTTTCCAAATGCCATTATTAACTATGGTGTATACTCTACCTAACGTACCTTTTACGACTCTGTCTCAGCAGTCCCAGCTATACATGCATTCTCAAGATATTGGTCGCTATTTTCTCCGAATACAGCAATTTGCATAGGACCTAGTTGACCACTGTTTCCTCAATTGTAAAGAGACTTTACAAAACTGATCTTAATTTGTCAAAATAAGATGTCCGGCTGAGACGTAACCCAAGTACAAAATAAATACTGATGTTTCAGGATATTTCGATAGACAACTGGCGGATATGCTGGCTTTGCGTGGACGGCGTGTTTGTCATCTTGGTCTAGTTTCGAAAAAGACTGCGATCTCTCCGTAGATTAACTGAGCAACTGGTAACTGTCAATCAAAATTTGCTGTTCGTTACTGTGGCTTACTGATCCTCACAGCTGTTGTGTTTGAAGTTTGTTGTTCCAGTTCAGGGCGCTTCCATTGATTGTTCCTTCAGTATGCCGTGTGCAAAGTCGCTATTTCCGTGTGGTTTACCTGCTGCTGGGGTACATCAGCTAAAGCGCGAATGATTTCTGGTGCACTTCCGTTTTGTTTGCCTTGTTTTCTCAGTTTACCAAGACTGTATTACACCTACTCAGCCTCCACTAATGAAGACTGGCTCGGCCCTAGAACCATTTATATTTTTTTCCCACTCGTTAACTACGAGAACAATAACTGAAACCAGATTACGCATGGATTTTTCCGCTTCTGTTACGCTAATTGGGCTCAGGCCTTGAAAGACTTCAGTCACACTAAGTCTGCATCTTAGCCCATCTAACTGATTAACTCGTCCAAGTACCAAATACCTTTGGAAATTTCGGGCGACCCAGGAGACCTACCCAACATTTAAAGCCGGATTCGTGCATCGTTTTCCGTAGCCAACCGCTGTATTCTTAGCTTTAACAGCGAGACTATCAGGACCCACGTGATGTGTACACGTCGAACCAAGAACGAAACGTATACGAGATCCCTCATACCCTGTGAAATAGTTTTTCCGAAATGGTCGCAACGAACTAGCATTCTTTCCCGGTACGAGTTTTATACGGGTTTTACCAGTAACCCTTGAAAATCAGGCTTTATTCGTCTGACCTTAAACTCGGCCACTCAGACTCTTCCGTATTATAAAATGAAATGATCGATGGCTGTACGTTATTTGCTACAATAGACTTTCCACTTGCTCACCGTTTTTTTGGAGTAGTAAGTTGAACATCTGGCATTGATTTTTAGTAAACCTCCCGCCTACCTTGGGAAGTGCTTATTAGGTATAACTCCGGTTTCCCCACACCATTAGTTCCATTATTTTTAGCATTTCTAATTATGCTTATAGCTCGAAGCTCCCTGTGGTGTCGAGTTTTTATGCTTCTGTTGGCCTCTCAACTTCCCCTATCTGAACTTCGACAACCTGGCAGTTAGGCATCGAAAGGATACTACAGCTGAATGATTTTTGTTGGCCAGGGGTCTAGTAGCATGTTAGCAAGTCGAACTTGTCTTTACATCTTTTTATGATAGGTTGAACAGCAAAAGCTTTCCTGTCTTTTGGCTGTTAAACATTGCCCTGCGTATGGTCTCTGGTAGGCTAACCACCGATCGCCACGCATATCTCCATGAAAGTGCACTCACTTAATTCCGTCCACTTCGTATTTTTACAGGATATATCGTATAATTAGCTATATCACGACGGCGTAATAACTACTTTTCTGTAATCTGTAAGCCTGCCTAGTCAAAGTAACTGTCTATATAAATGCAAATGTCGTCCAGCATAGTAGCCCACAAACTTTTGCCGACAAGCACTAATCTGTGATCGGGGTTCCTTTTGGACTGATTGTTCTCCTAACTGGTTAGTACCCAGACAATCATAGCCGTGTTTGTATGGGAGTACAACTAGCGGCCAGAGCTAGAAGTGGAATTCGGGATCTGCCACTTAATCATTTCTCGTCATTCTTCCGTGGCCTATCCTATACTGACAACCTATCCTGGTTTTCACATGTCATGGTCACCGTGACACGAGTATCTAGAAGCTTTGGTTTCCTTTTTCGGCTATCATTCTTTATCAATCTCGAATTCGCCTTATCTAAGGATAATTGTGTACTTCTGTTTATTTCTTCTCGATTCCATCCAACATGAAATCGCACGCCTCATAGATATCCCTTCACCGACTGACAAGTTACATTTTCTCATCTCTGGAACGTAGCGTCCCTGGCTTTATTCTACCCTCGTCACAGAAAACGTTCATCTGTTCCTTCTCCCATATCTTGCAATCAATGAGACGTTTTAGTTCATCAAATCATCCATGTCAAGTTACTACTACACGCTACAGGACTGTTCTTTCGTTTTCCTCTCCAAAAACGTCCCGTCCTTGTGACTTTGTGCCACCGTGTCTTTCTTTGCTCATTCGAAAGTCGGGTTAAGGTCTACCTTGGTATCTATGTTGTTTCACATAGGGTTTTGTGTTGCACTTTATGGTTATTTCCAGGAGCCTCTGGTATAGATCCTCTTTTCCCTATATTCGTGTGTGTATAAAAAGAAGCTAAATATAAATTTGATTCCTTCATATGAATCCAACTCAAATTCACGCTGGACACCGATACCATGAAGTTTCTTATGTAGAAAGCCGGTGCTTCGTTCATTATATCTGTTGATCCCATGTATTTCCCGAATCTTTGTTTTCCATAGCATAGTACTTCTTCAAGCTCAGTTAATCGAACTCTGGGGCTATAGCAGTAAGTGAAGTCTCACAAGCATCATCATTGTTGACAACACATCAGTGTCCTACACTGTACTTCGCTACCGCACTATCTCTCGGGCAGTGAATCTGTGGCCTTCGAATGAGTAAACCATAGGATTGCCGAAAAATCTTCAGTTTTGTTCTCATCAAAGTAGTTTTTTAATCCTAATCTACATATCTGTTCATCAATCACTATCCATATTCCCAAAGTGACTGGTGTTTGGTGGTCTATTTGTGTAGAAATTAAGGGGATACTGATTTACCTTTCTTGTTGCTTCAACTAACGGGTATTTGTCCACTTATTGTAGCCTATCCTTTCAACGTAACAATGTGAGTTTTGGCAGATGTGGCTAAACCAGTGCTGAAAGACACCTGATTCTGGAAGCCCTCGATTTCCTCATTGTTCTCACCCAGGTAGAACAGCACAGCCCACCGTCATTCGCTGGTAGCGTAAACACTTACC